GCGTGGTGGAACTTGTGGCAAAATAGCTGCAATCGAGTTAAGCTGCCATCGAAACGCAAGAGCTCTAGTTTGGGCAATCGTGCGCTACACTCACGTTGACATCATGCCATGTCTATTGCCGAGTTTATTGGCGGGTCCCCATCAGTAGGTGAATGCGCCGTCGAAGGAAGCGTGGTGACAATCAGCCTGTCCATGTGATGCTCGAGCAGGGCCAAAGCGCTGGTAGCAGCATCTTCATACTCCATGGCAGACTCGTAGTCTTCTACCACTTGCTCGTCTGTCAGGAAGGTTTCCAGCTCACCGGCTAACTCTGTCTGGACCACCTTCAGCCGGCTGTGAGGAATGTTAGGCGTCTAGAGGTCGAACTTAGCGGACTGTATGAGCTGATTCACCGCATTAACCATCCTCGTACTTTGTGCTCGACAAGACATCTGCCTGGTCTTGGTACGATCATTGATGGTAGGCAGTAGAAAGACGTGCCAGATCGGAAGCAACAGCTCTGGGATGAAGGCTAACTTCACCAGTTTTGGGCACCATGACACGGTATGGAAAATGTCTCTGTAGTCATTGCAGGCGCTTTGCGCACTGCCGTGCCAAAGTGGCGTCCATTCCATTCCAAGAGTCCAAAAATCACCCATAAAGCCTCTCAACCCTTCTACTTCCCCGTCCTCTCTCGCGTAATTTCCTAGTACACTACGACACCGCACATGGACCAGAGAAAGCTGCGTTTCTCACTCTGCGCCGTCTGAAAGTATTTGACATTCGCCGTGAGGGGCATGCAGAAAACAGAAGCGTGTGCGCGTCGACCAATTATCCCGCCTATAATCCGCCGACAGATTCAGGGCGCGAGAAGCACGCGTCGAGTTTGATTTTCATTGGCGCGTTCTCAAAGTTGCTGTTTTTATCCACTAGGCTATGTATTCTAGCGCTGCAGTCAGGCTGGAAAACTCGAGTGAATGGTGCCGATGGACGTTTCGCGAAAATTAGCGTCTATTCGAAAAGTACTTTTGAGACCTGGCGTAGCACCGTGGTAGAAAGCTTCACTGGCACGCAGAGTGCTTGGGTTTGATTCCTGATGGGACCCCGAAATTTATTATTTGCATTCGTTGGGGGGTAAACGGTGGCAATGTTTGATTTTTTCTAACACTGACATTTTGTCTATTCCTTCGTTGGGTCGACGCTACTAATGTCAGGTATTTCTTAACGCTGAAGCGTTAGAATTACCCATGTGTGTTCTCGTCGTTCCTGGGTAGATACTGAGTGCAAATCACTTCTGGCACATACCCGCATACTAGCATCACATACCCGCCTGTGGGTATGTGCCCCTGTCTGGCGGGAAGGGTTTGACAACGTATGCGGTAGGATTGGGACATTAAGCATGTCTTGACAAGCAAGTCATATCCGTCAAACCGTCTTACCCTCCCATGCTAATTTTGGTTCACGCCAAGGGAGGTGACCACGAGAGCACCCACACGTAAGCAGCTAGATAGACAGATACGCTCAAAGTCACGAAAGTTCTCTAAAAATGCTTCGTCTTTAAAATTTATGAAAAAGTAAGGATGCGAATTATTTCTACTTCTAGAAAGCGGCCAAATGCAAGAAACTTTGTTCGAAAGTAATTACGTATTTGCATTACTCACCACAAAGCGTCAGCTTGAATTGCTAGACCCCGATGGCTTTCGGCACCACATAAACAAAAAAATCACCGCATACACACATAGTGAATGATGGTGAGTGGGGGGAAGCGTCTGTCAGCCCATCCGTGCTTCCGTTCGTCCGTTCGTTCTTGCTTTCGTCCCTCCGCACGACCATCCATGCGTCCATCCATTCCTCCGTCCATCTGTGCATTAGCTCGTCCGTAAGTCCTTCCATCCGTCTGTCCGTCCGTTCGTGCGTCCATCTGTCCGTCCGTCTTCCAGTCTGTCATTCCGCCCGTCCATGCATCGATCTAGTGAACACTTCTTGTACCGCCATATCACATCTCGCATTCTTTGTGGCACCTACCCGTTTCGCGCGTCCATTCATCCATCCGTCAGTCTGCTTGCCTGTCTCTTCGTCTGTCCATGCGTCCATCCGAGTGACCATCTAGTGAACGCTCCAGTACCACAAGCTGTCATCTCGCAACCCCTGTGGCACATACCCGCTCTAGAGCGGGTAGGTGCCACCACTGGCTACGTGCTACAACGTCGGAGGAAGGGCAGACCCACAGCCTAAGGAGCTTCACCCCTAAAATGGAAACACGTGTAAGTAATCAGCCTTATCTGTAAGTCAACTCTACGACAGCACAATACATGACCACTCGCGCTGTGCATCTCTCCCTCCACCCATCTGTCTGTCGGTACATCCGTGGGCCTGTCCGTCAACTCGTGCTTCTTACCGTCTATGCATCCGTGGAAACGCCCACCGATCGGTGCGCCCATGTGTCCATCATTTATTCTAGTCAATGACATCAACGTAGACACTATCAACTTTAGGACTTTTAGTTTCGCCAACTCATTGTCATACACTTCGTGGAGATGCACAGATATTCCCTAATGCCCTCGAATTAGAATTATCAATGTTTGTTAGTGGCAATGCTTAGTTGATATAAACTGTCAATCACTTTCTGTGCATTGCACTAGACTACAGTTCAGGTTAACGCGACGTGACAGCTGCATCTTAGGAGTTCATATGTAATGTTTACAAAATATATAGCAGTCACTCCATCCCCTATTCACGCTTTAGAAACCTTACGGTCTCTGTGAACAGCGGTTGCAAGACCTGGCATGTTTCGGTAGTTTGGTAGTTAGGCAGAATTTTGATGTGCAGTTCCTACTGAGACCTGACTTTATTTTTAAATGCGGAGCATTTCTTAACGAACCTCGGCGACCTTGAGCGTATCTATCTATCTATCTATCTATCTATCTATCTATCTATCCATCTATCTATCTATCTATCTATCTATCTATCTATCCATCTATCTATCTATGTATCTGTCTGTCTATCTATGTATCTATCTATCTATCTATCTATCCATCTATCTATCTATCTATCATTCCGTCTATCTATCTATCCATCAATCTATTAATTTATCTATCTATCTATCTATCTATCTTTCTATCTAGCCGCCTAGGACCTTTAGCTCTCCTGGCCGTCTCGATAATGGTATCGATACCAAACTTGTTATGGCATAACATGACTGTATGAAGAACATATTTGACTAGTCATAACATCAAAATCACGATATGTATGTCATGAATGTCATGATTTACATTTCATGGTCCTGCCGCGCTTGGGGTGGTTTCGTTCGGATGGCATGTTACAAAACTGGTATGGTATGACATGATAGCATGCCGAACACAAACGACCGACCCTAAGATAATATTCATGACATGCATGTCATGTAACAACCTGAATACGTGCCACGCTCTTGAGACACTCGCGGCCGTTTCACTAGCGTCACATAGACCAAGTTTGGTTTTATGGTACGTTAAAGGATGACGAAGGTACATGACTGGTGAAAACATGATGATAGTGAGATGCGTGTCATGTAATGACATGACTACATGCTACGGTCATGATGCGCTGGCGGCCATTTCACTAGCTTCCCTTATACCAAATTTGGTAGTGCAGAGCGTGAATGGATGACGAAGCTATGATACTGGTGCAAACATGATCAACATGAGATGCGTGTCATGTTACAACATGACTAAATGCTACGCTTGTGATGCGCTCGCGGCCATTTTGCTAGCTTCACATGTCAATTATTGTATTACGTGGCGCCAATGGATGAAGAAGGTTTGTGACTGGTGCAAACATGATAATCATGAGATGCGCGTCATGTGAGAACAAGACCACATGCTACAGTCAAAGTGGCAATACATTTCTACTTGACGCGGTTCGCGTGCTCGCCGGTGTTCATTCGTCGCATCACGCCGGCGATGCCATGCCAGGCGCCAGTCTTGCCATATACTCGCAGATGCTGCCGCGCTGCGTTGCTTTTACCCATGCGCGTTTCAGGGTGTCCAGCGTCCCTTTGTTACGAAAAGAGGGGGACGAAGTGCTGTCCGGGTAACGCGTCGGTGAAAAATGCAGCACATCGCATTTCGCGCCCGTTGCCATCGGGCCGTGCCAACGGACGCTGGTTGCCCCTCCTGGCGTCAGGCTATAGAGTGCTCGCGTTTTGCTAACGCAGCGTCGCTGTGCCCAGCGTGCGCGCACGTCAACGCTACATTGGAGTGCATTGGGTCCTTTATGATGCGCTCGTGGCCATTTTGCTAACTCAACATATAGTAAATTGGGTGTTACGTGACGTCAATGAATGATGAAAGTATATGAATGGTGCAAACATGATAATGCTGACAAGCGTGTCATGCAAGAAACTGACAACATAGCACGCTCATAGCGTGCTGGCGGCCGCTTCGCTAGCTCCACATATAGTAAATTCGGTATCACGTGACGTGAAAAAGTACAAAGGTAAACGACACATCCACATGATAATCATGACATGTAGGTCACGTACCGCATCATTTACCTCTACCTCGTAATATTGCTGATTTTATAGTGGCATATCAACCTTTCTCATTCGTGCATCGCATATCATCGATTCCCAATGTACGTGGGATCTGCCAATTTTTTTTTTATTCTTTTGGTCAATGCAGCCGATGTAAGCTTCTTCTTAGCGCTCACTTGTTGAAATTACCCATAAGCCATCTCGCCGTTTCTGGGTACATATGAAACGTCAATCACCTGTGGTTCACAACCGCACACTAATGGCACATACCTGCGGCGGGTACGTGCCGCTTGGCACGAAGTGTTTGACGACGGGATTGTCACATTGTGAACAGCGAGTCGTTATTTTCGAAGCATCATACCCTCCCATACCAAATTTGGTTTACTTTGAGGGAGTGATCACGAGAGCACCCTGACGTAGGTGGACAGATAGATATATAGATGACAAAAATGCTCGTAGTACGTAAAAAAGTTCTTCTCGTTCAATATTCAAGACAAGTGTTGCTCACCCGCTCTGCTGAACTCTCCTTTCAATGGTTCCACTTCAAAAATTTTATGCATCATCTGACCTTTGCCGGAACGTTCCCTTTCTGGAAGAGGCCTAATTCGAAAATGGTCGTTGATAATTCCCTCCTATAAAAAATAAGCACATTAGATTTGTTTGCCGTTGGTGTCGGCCTTTTCGGGATATATCTTTTTATAACCAATAAACACCAACATCATCCTAAGCTGTGTTTTCTTGAATTACATTTGGAGCATATACAAAAACAAACGATCTAAGCGAAATTGCATTTCACCAAGAAGTACCATCGTGTTATTTTTCTGCTTCAGTAGATCAGTACCTAAGTAATATGTAGGCATGTCTTTCCCGGCTCAGCAAAAGGCTACCTTTCCACATACCACATAAGAAAAAAGCTGATAGGAAAACGTAAGTTAACAACAAATTAGCGTCAAAATCTTGGCTAGCTTGGCCAGCTTCAAGATTGCGGCCGTTCCCTCACTGGCTGAACACCAGCGACCGAAGCACGCAAATCTACGGAAACAACACAAACAAGCTTCACCGACAACGGCTTCTTAACGCAATGAACAAATTAAAAGTGGTTGCAGGCCACGAAAGGTTCCTTCAGTTTTGGTTGCTGGACACCTGGTTTACGTTTAGACTATTCTGTCTTGAATATTCTGGACAGTCTTCGGGGCTAAACAAATGCTGTACGCAGCTTTACTAGGTCCCTGATAACTTTTTCGTAGGCATCAAACAACCTTCACGGCATGGGTGTGCAGTAGCCCTACAATTATTACGTACTTTACTAACAATGCAAGCGTTTTAGTAGGGGTCACAAAGCATATGCAGAGTGACATTATTGCGGTGAAATTGGAGTGCTTCAAACAGGTAAATGTAACCACCATAAATGCTTCTTAGTAATTGGGTCAATTCAATGTGAGTGTCCCTCAACTTTACAATGTAAGCGGTTGCAAGTCTTGCTTTGGCATTACTTGGTTTGCCATTAGAAATGTTCCTGCAATATGTGGGTGACTTTGCTGTGCGTTTTTCTTACATAACGCGATGCTCGACGTTTTACTCGATAGGCTTAACGCATACGGATGGAGAGAAATAAGGTGAGAAACAGGAATACATTTTATCAGGCAAATTTCTTTTTGGGGAGTGATTCGAAGTTGCTAACACACCATCAAGATGCTAGCACAGTAAAAAGAGCACGGAAGTTTATAAGAAGGGTAAGCTAGAAAAGGAAGAACACATGTGATGGCAAAAAAGAGTAAGCAGAATTGATGAGGAAGCCATAATTGGGCAAGAAAACACCTATGAAATCAAAGGTAAACAAAAGGACGTTCCACACGAAAAATTTGTTAACATTGAGGCTGAAAGACTGGACGCGCCTTACGCAAGCATGCACCATGCCTTTGACCGGGGTTAGTTTCCATCATTACTATCCTGTGTGTGTTTCTGCTCCCTGTTGAAGCTACCAACTAGCCTGCATGCAAGTTAAGGCATGCAGTTGTGAGTGGTAAGGATGTTCTTCAGAAAGAAGCCTTGCGTAGTGTTTTGTACAAGGTCTCCTGTGCTCTTTGAGAAAGCAATTGCATAGCACAGATCACCAACTTTTAACAACGGCTGCGCCAGCATGAGAGTAATGCAAGAAAATTGGGCAAATCTCGAATAAGTTTTTCAGAAAAGCGTCATAACGAAGAGGAACAGTTTCAAAAAGTAGGCGCGAAGACCATAGACAAAAAAAGTACACACACACGCACACGCACACACGCACACACGCGCACACGCACACACGCACACACACGCACACGCACACACACGCACACGCACACGCGCGCGCGCGGGGGACTACAAGTCCAAGAGTATTCATTCCAAGACAAAAAAATGGGTGATAATTACGCAAACAGTGTTGTCCCATTTCATTGCTGGGCAGTCAAGTTCAGATGCCGCTGCTCTTTCGAAGATACGGAGGCCACACTCACGGATCAATCACCGAATTCAATACCTTTTTGCCCATATTATTAGTCGATTTCACTTGTATGAACCCTTGGCAATCACGGAGCACGAGCGAAAACTCGGTAAACATTTTTAATCTCTGCAATGAATCGCCAGGTGACACTCTCTGCCATGTACTCATTGTGGCAATGATGTCAGGACCTGTCGTTTAGGAACTTCTCCGTTTCGCCGACGTACTTTTTCCCTCAAGACAAGGGAACATCGCAGACCACACCGGACGAATATTTGACATTTCTTTTCGTGGTTTACAGAACAAGCTGGAACTTTTCGGAGGCAACACTTTGTCATTTTGCAAAGTTTGGACATTTTGAAAAGTACAGAGAACATCCCTTTTACATCTGCTGGCTTAGCACACTTCTTCAAATTATGGGACACACGATGGGAACATACGGTACCAAAGACCACCTTTTTTTAACACGAATCAGCTCTTGGTCCGATTGGCGGGTTCGCGATGTTTTCAAGATTGTCTCAACTACCGAACTCGGCACAACTTGCGGAAAGCCTGCCTCCTGCATATGGTTTATATGCTTGCTAATAATTTCCGCTACACGATGGGAACAGAGCTTGAAAACGTTAAGCAAGCAAACGTGGACGATACTGCGCCTAACAAGCTCAGAATGACAGGAGCTAAATCGTTGCAGCTGTTTTTTTGCCGGTATCATCACTCCCGAACCTAGTCGACCAATCAGTTTTTCTTTGTGCTAACTAGTCGTTTTTATAGCTCTCTTTTTTGTTTTTTAGCGTAAGCTACACACACCGAAGTTCAGCAGTGTCGCGCGGTTTTCCCGAGTACTGTACGGCGCTTTCCTAAGAAGAAGTCTGGTGACAGGCACTCGCCCCGTAATTATTGACCCATTTCACTTACATGCATCTCTTGCAAACTATTGGAACATATCGTGGCTTCTCATAGTTACGATCACCTTGAATCGCACAACTTCTTCTTCTCCCATCAGCATGGCTTTAGAAAAGGCTACTCATGTGACACCCAGTTATTCGAATTCACGACTGACCTTCACTTTAATATGAACGCTAACGAACAAACTGATTGCCTCTTCCTTGATTTCGCCAAGGCATTCGTTACTGTCCCTCATTGTCGTTTAATGTCTAAATTGGCCGCACTCCGTATTGATTCATTAATCCTGTCTTGGCTACGAAGCTTCCTCTCTTCACGTCAGCAACTTACGGTGATCAACGACATTTCATCTAACCTTTGCGACGTCACATCCGGTGTTCCCCAAGGCAGTGTAATAGGCTGTTACTTTTTCTAATATACATTATTGATTTGCCCGATAACCTTTCATCCACAGTTAGGTTGTTAGCTGACGGTTGCGCCATATACCGCAACATTAAATGTTTTAATGATCATTCCGCTCTCCAAAATGACCGTGACCTAACCTTCCGGTGGTGCGAAACTTGGCAGATGTCTCTTAACGCCTCTAAATGCAAGTTAATCTCGTTCACTCGAAAGCATAACAATTCAGCATTTCACTATAAGATTAATAACGCCGTTGTGTCAGCTACAGCATCTTACAAATATTTAGGCGTTCACCTTACATCGGATCCATCCTGGACTACGCTTATAGCAGCTCTCTCATCTAAAGCATCTCAATCTCTCGGATATCTCCGCAGAAACTTGCGCAACGCTCCTTCTAACGTACGCGCATTATCATATATTACTTATGTTCACCCACAGCCAGAGTATGCATCATCCACATGGTCACCATATCAAGATTACTTGGTACGTATGTTGGAAGCCGTCCAGAATAGGGTTGCGAGATTCATCTCCGGAAACTACGACTATCATTTAAGTATTACCCTAATAAAACAAGACTTTGCATTTCAGTCACTAGAAGTACGCCGCAACATTGCTCTTTCATGTCTGTTTCATAGGTACATTTATAATAACGAAATTCACTGTTTGCCACTTTATTCTCCTGTGCGCACTTCCCAGCGCATTTACAATGCCCGCAGTTTTATGCGCATTCATGGTCACACGCAGGCATTTAACTTATCATCACTACCTCGAGCCATTGCATATTGGAACGGCCTTCCGGATCATGTTGTACCTATTTGTAACCATGAAATGTTTTGTGACAACCTGATTTCGTTGCACTCTAGTATTGTATAACGCCGTTACACCTTGATTTTTGTAATCTTTTATATATGTATATATTTTTTCGTCTGCTTTTCTCCTTTCTTGTTATTTCGTTTGTACACTAATGCCCCTCTTACTCAATACCCTTCAGTGGGCCTGTAAGGTATTTTGAATAAATAAATAAATAAATAAGTTATGTTGCACGGCGCATAGCTGGTCATTGAAAAGGCCTGGAAGCTTCTGGAGCACAGTCTAAGTGTCCTCGAGTGACGCGTAACTACTGCGCTGGGGTTTGACTCGCGTAAGCTCGGTTGCTAATCCATTCGTCTGTCCATCTGTTTGTATCATGACGACTTGGTTGTAACGAGGTTTACTGGCCGTGAACTTGGGAATGAACAAGCGCAACGGACCCGAAGATGAAGCGCACGTTGAAAGACGATGACGACTGTCAGCCAAAACAGGTGATCATGATTGACTGCTGTCCAGATGAGGATGAAGCACATAAAAGATGCCTACACTAATCCCCCCTCCCCCGTGAAAGCAGCCAGCCTGGCTGCTGCGGGCAGGTAGTCAAGGTGACGAGGAATGCGGTGGTGTGAAAAGCTTCATGCGGGAAACAAGTACAATTTCGGTGCTGCGGTAACGATGGTCAGTTGGCAAGGCAAGAGGCGTCACACGATAGTTGAAAGGTGACGTCTGCTCTGAAACTACGTATGGGCCGATGAATCGAGGCCGCAACTTGTCGGACAGACCAGGTGTTCGAATTGGCGTCAATAGCAGCGCCTCGTCAACCGGTCGGAATGATACCACATTATGAGAGGTGTCGTAGACGGCCTTCCTTGCTTGTTGCGTAGCTTCCGTGTTCATACGAGCACGCTCACGGCACTGTGCAAGGCGAGAAATGTAATCTTCGCAGAAAGACGGTGATGCAGGGTCACTGCTGGTGAAGAAGCAAACGTCGATAAAGAAAGTAGGTGAACGTCCGTAAACGAGATAGAATGGTGAGTAGCCGAT